CCCCGGCCACACAAAACAGCGCCGGGTTGTTATCTCAACCCACACTTGTGCTTTCTTCCGATCACACACCGGAGTAAACTGTCATCGATAAAATTGTCCTATTTTCGTCTACCCTTTCTGACGCAATATGCGTGTCCGAAGTCTTTCGAATAGCCATATCGACGAAAAGCACGTGAGGCTTAATTGCGAGACCGTGTTTTTAATCTAGATGAACGAGTCAACGGGTGAGCCAAAGCAGAAGTAATTTGCTGCATTTTACGACGTGTGATTCGTATCGTATGGTGTTGCTTGCGTAAAACTTTACCACAAAAGCAGTAACATATAAATGGACCTTTCAGGGTGAAACCGACCGTGAAACTAGATCGAATTGGTCGGATTTTTGGACATTGATGCAAGACGAGGGTTGTTCGATGGCAAGAGAATTACAAGGATACAATTTTGTGTCATTTTACAGCGTTGAGTGTCACTACTGTTAGATTTGGTAACACTAATAACCCAAGATTTATTTTACGGAGTCAAAAACGAATGGAGTAAGAGTGTCAAACTGTATACAAAAAGATCCATTCATGTAAATTTATAGTTATTGTTCATTAAGAGATGAATGAAGCTGCAACCTATCGTGGACTGCATGTCTTTGATTTATCATGGACAGTATAATAATAAATAAATAAATAAATTACACTTTTACAGGTCCCAGAAGGGCAATTTGGTTTACAATGGCAAACATACATACACACATACATACATAAATATGAACACATACACACATAAAAACATGCAAAAATACATACATAAATACACAATATTACACCAATACAGAACAATTTCACAACCATGCCATTGCCGGTCGCCCATGTGCAGCGCCCTTTATTTGAGCTAGGGTTGTCGTGTCTTGCTCAAGGACACACAACAGTGACCACCCATCGAAACCCCGTGTCACCGACACTTGCTTCACATTACTTGAGTCGGAGCTCACTGCTCACTTAGCCACTGGAGCCACAAGAGACGATGCTTTACTTTTGTATAAATATCGAGTTTCTTGTGGTTTCATACAAGGCTTACGTAAATCATTAAGAAAGCTAAGACATGCATTTGGAGTTTTTGTATGATTTGTTGCTGTGAATGCATGGTCCATAAGTCGACTATATCTAAATAAAATTGACACACAAATAATGAAGAATCTCACTTGTATCTTTTATATAAGTATATTGAGGTCTAAGAGAGGAAAAGCTCATATACTTAATTTTTCTTGTTTGTTCAGTTCTGACACTTGAATTTTTTCTATTGGCCTTGGCTTACTGTCATAAAAGTGTTGTAGGGTAAAACTGCAGAGGTCTAGAGGTTTAACTATTCTTTTAAGTTTGTAGAGGGCAGTGCAGGAGTCTTTACAGAAACATTTCAATATCTGATATTTCATAAATAGAGGACACGTGCGGGGTGTTTTCCCACCTATTTGTCTTGGTGTTCATGTAGCAGGGACTGTAACTTTAACCTTGCAAATAAAACCCAACCTAGGTCTTTGTAAACAGCTTCTACCTAGGCTACCAAAAATAGCATTACAAAAACATGAACCATGAAACGTTATGGTTTGGGGGACTGGATCATCAAATTTAGTCAAATGAGTGCAACATGGAAACATGCTCAACTGAGTAAAAAATACACCATCAGAAAAAAATCATGGAATGCGAAAGAATGTATTTTTCTTCTTTTTTTTTTTTTAAACTTTTTTTTGCTACGTCAATGAAATACGTACAGTATATGATATATGATCAGGAATTTGTCCAGCACTATTTCTACTGAGGCAGCATAATTTCTGCTACAGCACTAATCACCATTTACATCAACTACTACTAGCATAATATTAATCTTCATCCCACGCAATAACACCTTACTGTGTCTTCCATCTCCGCAGTTGCCCGTACCTCAGGCAACACTTCCACAGAATGAACGTAGTTTTTTCTTTCTTTACCAACCCATTTATTTACCAAGATCGGAGCTCTCTACTGCAAAAGTAACGCTTCGACCACCACCCAGACTACGCACACAATTTTTTTTCCATTTAGGCTACGTTGGATGGAGGTTACAATTTGTTCTCCCTTCACTGGAAAGAAGAAAGTTCCATAGCGTGGGGTAACTCTTGTCTTTGTTGCCCCACGTGCCTCAGATATTTACTTCTAAGCTTCTTTCAACACAGTGTAGGTTAAGTAAGCAGCCAGACAAAAAGATGAAAAAGTTTGGCATTTGGATGAATTTCGAAAAAGAAGAGGTTAGAATATATTATATTCCTTTAAAACTATGGTTTAAACCCCCTTAATAGGATTCAAACTCTTGTCGTTTGTGTAATAAGGTTGTTGAATCTATTGCTGTAACCATCTCCCGATGAGACATTGAAACCCTGCAGTCCAGAAGCAAGCACAGTCGCTATCGATAAAACATAATCTCCGGTGGTATCTCCTGGCAGAGGTTCTGGACGTGGACATTGATTGCCGCTCGTCCATCTGTATTTGATCTTGGTCCATAGGAAACTCCAAACTCCCAATCTTTCCTCTCTTGGAGAGGTTCTTGGGCGAGGTAAGAGGAAATTTGTAACGGAGAGTCTACCTCATGCCTCTTGCCTTGATGATGATGATGATGAAGAACGCAGTGCATCGATTGGCGGTTTTCCCCTGCGCTTATAACACAAATCTCAAAGATCTCCACTCTCCCCCCCAACCTTCTCACCACCCACTGCGTTCACAATTCTCTTGTGGGTTTTCTGTTTTGTTCTGTTTTGTTTTAGTATTTTAAAAATTGTGTTGTTCTTGGTTTTTTTTCGTAAGAGACACAAAGAGCTGGATTAAAGACTTCCTTCGAACTGTTCATTCATTTGGACTTTCGTTCTAATCCATTAGCTATGATGTGCCTGAGAGCCACTTGTTTGTCACCGCCTGCGTTATTCATTGTTTGTAATACGTCTTTGTTCAAGGAAGATAATCATTCATTCACCGTACTGCTCGTGAGAAATAATTCTATTCATAGTCCCTTTGCCTCATCAGAAAGTATAATCTATTCCCCAGTTATACATTGTTATAGTTGTTCCTGTTTTTCTTGTTTCTTTTCAGAATGGGGAATCCGCAGCGCCTCGTTTATGTCGAGAATGCCAACGCAAAGGATGACTCCTAACTAGAAGCGGCGACGGAAATGTTCTGATTACTTAGAACAAACCTTCGACGTAACTTTGGATGTAAATAGCCAAAACGATTAGCAATCTTGAAGAGCAAAAGGTCACTAAATTGCTGTGCCTCCTGCAATAACGGAATAAATAATAATTTGTTAGGACTTGACACATCCACTGCTCCTTTGAGTTTTGATGGTGGTGTGGTGACGATAGGACATAGGGCAGTTTTTCGTGAACTTATCAAGAAAATATTTTCATTATCTTTTTTATAGGATACGCTATTGATATATGACAAAAAGAAAATTTGCATTGAGTGTTAGATTTCATGCGTTTCCTAAACTGGATATTTACCTGCAAATCAGTTTAATAAACAATTCATTTCACGATTTCTAGGGAAAACGAGAAGGCAATAAATAATTATATTCCCAGTAATTGTTTTTTCAAACTGAAATAATAATGTTTCTTGCATCGGGGTTAAAAGAAAACACCACACTACATCTCGATACCCCATTGTATTCTCAGAGATAAAACAGGTGAGGTTCAAACAGTAGCCACTGTGCCATTCAGAAGGTCTCTTACGTGATGCAAAAATCGTAAAGTGCTTGGTTAGATCTTCAGCTAATGTTTCTTATTACTCTTTAATTGATAAATATAGGCATAGACGTATGTAACGATGACTGTGTTTGCTATATATTCACCTTAAACACGAAATGATAACTTTATTTTTTGACAGCTATTTTGTGCAAATAGCAACTAAGAATCGCTATTCGTCTCATGTAATTGGATGAATTTTAGTTTCGAATTCAATATGTAAAGATGTTATCAGAAGGTCAATAAGTCTTTTGGAAAAGATTCAAGTGTTCTGCAAGGAACCATTGATGTGAATGATATCAGCGGTGAAGTGATTTCTTGGGATAAGTGAAACACTTTTATTATAATTATAAGAGAATAGTTTTCGGTAGATTTTCGAAAAAGAAAGTGACTACTTGACGAAATGACTTTCGACCCACTCTCAGCAAGATCGGTACCTAAGAGCAAGTTCCATATCTTTTCAGTCTACTGTGTTAGAAGCCTCCCTATTTTAGTATGGTAAAGAAAGATATGTCAATAAATAGAAGAATAGGATAAGAACGCTAACAGTTGAACCACCGTCATAATGAAAGTTAGAACAGAAGCTAAATTTACCCCAAATACCACGCTGGACATGTAGCCATGGCTACCACCGACATCACATGAAGGTCAAGGTCGGATATTTCAATTTTATTTCCGGAGTGATCACGTGAGCAGCAGTTGAGCACAATGATCAAGCACCCGGATAAAGCCCATGCCATGCTGCTGGAGAACCTGAGAGTTATCTCGGAGTATCGGCGTCGGTCCATCGCTGAAAACTACAGGTAAGTTTTAGATTTAAATCATTTTTCAAAGTACAGTCAAAACAGTCTAGGACGCCCACCTATTCGCTACTTCAGAATTACTAAGTTCTATCCGCTCAATACCTAGTTCTGAGAAATTTGACTTCACAACTTTCTGTTTCTCATTGGATGTCAAGCGTTCTCTAATACAATTCTTTGAATATCTTGATAACGCCTCCGAATATTCTTACAAATTTGATTGAGCAGAGATAGCATAATTTGTTTTCTGAACTCATAGACTTAGTAACTCAAAACGGTCAAAAAGTCAGATAGAACTTTTCAATTGTGAGGTAGCGTATTGTCAAGGAGAAAAGTGGGCGTCCAGGACCGATGCCCGTCTTACATAGTGTCCCAATGATGTAAAAAATACACAAGGAAGGTAATGGGAAGTGACCATTTATACCTGTGATTGTCTTATACAGGTGGCCGCTAGAGCAGGTTCGACTGATTTGTGTTCCAGGACGATTTAAAACGCAGTCTCGGTCTTAATCCAGGACAGAGTGAAAACTTTAAAATGTTAGTTTCTTCCGGAGGTAGGACCTCAAAATGTTCTCCGTCCTCCCCTCCCCCTTTAGCAATTGAGGCAGATCTTTACCACCATGGTATGAGACTTCGTGCAAACTTTCGGAACCTTCGGTGACACTGTAAAGACGGCTCCACTAGGGAGCGGGACAGAGGGTGCCCACATCGTGACTCGAAAGAGCAGAGGAATGTAAGACTAACATGATCCAAACAATTAACTACTAACCAGTTGTTTTAACCATCTACACTTGGGGCTATGGCAACACTTACATGTGTAACTTACCAATAAACGTTGTGTGAGGGAAGTAACACATTTATTTATTTATATGTGTGTTTACTCTAAGACTAACAGCTAATTTCAAAATTCAAAATGTTGCACATTTGGTTGTTACTACTAAACACAAAAGGGCCAGATGATAAAATTGGGCAGGGTTAAAAAAAGAGGCGGATCTTTAAACAAACACAAAAAAGAACCTCACTCCCCCCCCTCCCAAATCCCCGCTTGCCTCCTCTCGTAGCGTCAGAACTGAACTTGAACCGATGTGTAGTTTGCATTAACTTCTTGCAATTTAACTTCTGTCTCTTATTTGGCATAGCCAAGTTAGTGGAAAATCTTGAAACCCACTCAAGCAACGTAAGTTCAAGAATGCCAAATTATGCTGGAAACCTAGTTCATCCGCATCGTGGCAGAGCATTTCTAATCAAACAATAGAACCTCCCAAATTGGAGGCTGGAGAAGTTTTAAAAGTGGTCTCTTTTTTAGTAGATGTTTGTGTGCCCATGGACACAATTTAAATAATTTAGAAGGCGGCCGTCGACTGTAGTTGTCACTGCCAACCCTGGAAGAGAGAGAGAGAGAAACAAGTTCCCGGGAGAAAGCCAGAAGGCCTCGATAAGTCTTTTTTTGTTGAACAAAAAATTTCCCAAAACAGAAATCAAACTCACGCCCTCTGCGTGCAACGACAAACTGCCTAACAACTACACCTCAGGCAACAGTGTGGTATCTGTAAACAGAGTGGAGATACACACGGAGGTGTGGAACTCGGAATGGAAGGAGTTCCGCAGAGGGCCAGCCGACCAACAACACACAAAAGAGGGGATAATATTTTGAGGGTAGTATACCCTAACCCAAACCCTAACCCAAACTCTTGTATAGTTTGCTCAGTGGACCTTGTCACGGTAAGTGCGGAACTCTTCCCCTCGGAAAGTCTCCTTTCTCCGCACCACTAGGGTGTCCTTTAATCTTGAAGCACAAACAGTATATTATACTCTTCTGTCCTGCCCCCCCCCCTCCCGTTTTGCTTCCTCTCCTCCACTGGGCCCCTGACTTGTTCTGCTGCGTTTAATATACTTGTACCTGCTTCTTCCTGCCTGGCTCCTTCAGCCACACACCTAATCATAGGGTAGGTAAGATCTAACATTTAGCCTTCACGGATAAGGGTGAGAAAATCTCGGACGTCCCTTGTGCAAGTTGCGCACGTTAAAGATCCCTTGGCGGTCCAAAAATCGGTAGGAGTAGGCTTCGGCCGCCACCCGGGCAAAATTCAAAATTAATTCCTACCAAACTGAAAATACTTAATGTTTCCCGCCCGCTCATACGACCTTATTATGCAGTTACAAGCGCCGTTAAAAACGTACCCCTCAAAAAAGGATGAAAAAAGGGGGGGGGGGGGGGGGGAGAAAAAACAACAAATTTTCTGTCATACTCTACTGACGCTGCAAGAGACTGAACTAATATGGAAACTGTACGTTTATTGTGCTGAAACGTGAAAAGCCTTAACTACGACACGAGAAAACCCCCACATATTTTGCAGGCATTACCCTTGTTTAACATAGGGTATGTGATATTCCTTGAGTCCTCTTTGGTGGCTCTCAAAAAAAAATTGCTTCAATTTTTCAAGCATCTCCGCCTCTCTCAACTTTCGTGATTCGTAATAGAAAAATGATCATTATGTTGATGCTTAAAAGTATAACGTTAAAGAATAGCCTCGTGGGAATGGGATGGTAGGACGTGCCAGAAAAACTTTAAGTTAAAGCTTCTCAATGCAATGCGATGCTTCTTTAAAATTTCATCAACCATAGAAGAGTGTGTTAATTCCATAGAAATAGGCAAACTGTTACAAATATAATTAATAAAACATTCGTATGAAAAAAGACCAATATTGCATCAACAAAAAAGCTGGGGGTGGGTGGGTGGGAGAACAGTACGTTTGAGCCTAGAGGCGGAAGAGATGCGCAAAATTGTCAAAAGGTGACTGGACTGTTGTCATCAATACTCCCAGCACAACTTTCGACTTGGGGGAAAGTGACAAAGCGTCCACATTCTATAAACAGGGCAATGAAAAACCCTCACTCTATGGGCCACGATCGCGACTGCTACTGCCGCTGATTCTTGCTCCTAAGTAATTGCAACACATATTATTATCGGCGGGCGCCTATAAAACATTCAGGATGTCTCGCTGTTTAACAATGGATACTTGTGTGCAATGTCCACATGGAAGCGCCCGTAGAAATAACTTATTGTCTGTTTATATTGCATTGTTTGTGTTGTTTGTCCCCAACTGGAGCACAAGGGGTTTTATTGTTATGATGGACCAGCGGCAATAGCACATTTATCGACCACGGGCGGGTTACAAGAGCTGTTACTATGGAAACCAGGCACGCTGTCACACAACTGTTGCTTTAAAGCACCGATCCCTGGCCACGAGAAATGAGTAAGACACCAATAGAGTCAAAAAGTACACTATTAGTATTAGCTAAGCGCCACTTATCTCTTCGCTGGCCTGTTTCTTCTTATCTTTCATTTCCGATCTGCCTTTCCCCATCCCCCCTCTCTCTCTCTCTCTCTCTCTCTCTCTCTCTCTCTCTCTCTCTCTCTCTCTCTCTCTCTCTCTTTCTGTAATTATCTGTCTCCCCTTTGTTGTCCCTTCTCTCTATATTTATTGTCTCTTTCTCCCCTCCTCTTTGTTCACAACCTCTGTCTGTCTGTGTCTCTCTCTCCCCCTCCCCTCTCTCACTCTCTCTCTTTCTCACCCCCCCTCTCTCTCTCTCTCTCTACTGAGTTTATTTCTCTTCTCTCCCTTCTGTCTCCCCGTTTCACACAGCCCACACTCCAACGCCACCTTCTTTGTCCAATTTTATATATATATTACATAATATCTCCTAATTTATCAATATTTTTTGGTACCCTTCTCTCTCTCTCTCACTTTCTCTCTCTCTCTCACTCTCTCTCTCTCTCTCTCTCTCTCTCTCTTTCTTTCTTTCTTTCTCTCTCTCTCTCTCTCTCTTTCTCTCTCTCTCTCTCTCTCTCTCTCTCTCTCTCTCTCTCTCTCTTCCTCTCTCTATCTCTCTGCCCCCTCTCATTTTACCTGTAAATAAACTACGTGGAAATGAAACAGTCATTGGTTAAAATAAATTTGAAATCACTCACATACTAAGCCTCAAACTCGACATTCTAGTAAAACTTTATTAATGGCCGCCGTAAAGGTAAGGGCCTAATTTCTGTAACAACTTTTAAATGCCTCATTATACATGTACATGGCTTACCAAGGATCATGTTTGTTTTGTATCGGACGCGGCCACTTGTGTCATGAGTCCGCATCTTATGGGGAAAGTCGGGGTAAGGGAGTTTTTCTGCAAATACACAATATTTTTACACAATTTGACTGTAGGCACTTTAAACACTTTGGCGCATCATCTCGCCGATCGGCGATTTTTACCCCCCAGTTTCTTTGGATTTTCCTCAAAATGCCTTAGCCTTTGATGACAAGAGTTTTTACTATAATATGAGCCTTGTGGCAACAGGCGTCTATAGTGTAGCATTTGTGTGCTTCCCTGTACCATGCACGCAGAAGACCTGAGTTTGATATCGGCAAAGTGAGAATTTTAATCGAGTACCTCTGTTTCTTCTAGGATGTTTTGTCCCTCTAAGCTGTGTTGGGTTAGACAGACACGGTCGAAGACCGTCTCATGATTTATGATCTAAATAGTGCCGATTTTTATTTATTAATTTGGATTTTTTTTGGAAGGGGGGGGGGGGGGCAAAAGACCTATCGGCTGATCAGAAAAAAGGTTCTTTCAAAGAAATGTTAATAGCTTTTTTGTTTATGACGCAATCAAAAACACAAAAATTGACCGAAAGCTAGAACATACATCTGGATTATGTTTT